ATATATATATATATATATATATATATATATATATATATATATATATATATACCGTATGAGATCATTATTTTTGCGAAAGATTCGAGCCGGTGCCAAGCTGAGTGCCGCGAGAGTCTTCAAATCGAAGATCGGATCGAAGAGATGCGCGAGAATGCGGAAAAGGGACTTGTCCTAAATTCACTCGCGACAACAACGTCACTTGCGAACTCGATCAGCGTTTGTTATATCTCCTGACTCTCTCTCTCGACTCTAGTCAAATTAAATTCCCGCTTACATAATTCACCAGCGGCAACAAACACACTCATTGTCCTCGTAACCTAAAATCCGCGACGAAACAAATATCCTGTTTCTGATTAAAATTTCGCCGATAACGAGGCGGACTGTTCAGTCACTCGGGAAGAAGATTCGAGATTGCATTTGTACGAATCGATTACCGCACGAACGAAGAGCGAAAAATACAATCGACAACCATCTACGAACGGTAATCGATCGAAGTCGAAACCGATCAGCCTCGATCGTCGAGGTTCCCCCCTTCGGAAGATTAAACCTAGAGTTCTGAAGCGAGAGTCAGGATATCGTCCGCCATTTATAGGGAGGAAGCGAATGAGTGAGAGAGAAGCTGCAGCATATTTCGTCATTTCAGTTTTCGAGCTTCTCTCTCACTCCTATTTGCTTCTTCCCTGTTAATGTCGAACAGAGCCCGGTCCAATCGGGGATCATCACGAGGTGTGTCCTAACTGTTACTTGAGCAATTCTCATTCAACTGATCCCGACCCGTCACTCACCGATCGGCTGAGGCTCTTGCCGCTTGCTGCAACACTTCCCCATGCTGGATCCGGTTCCTGGTGTACCTCTGCGCGCCGGCCGAGTCCTACGCACCCTTTATCCTGGATCCATTCGCGGGGCAAGCCTCCGTCATCTCGCGAAACTTGGCTCGGACGACCAGCGCTCCAGCGACGAGGTGTTTCGCGCTCTACGAACTCTCAGATTCCCGTCCGTCTGCCCATCGTCAGATTATCGAACTTGGTGCTGTTACTGTTGCTGCTGCAACATAAGGCAGACGAGATCCGTCGTCATTTCTATCTTGCGTGATAATCTTTTGTGATTCCAAGGACCGCGATTACGAGCGGGGGATTATCGCGACAATGGTCACGAGGATGCAACGTCACGACGCCCAAGGCTCGCAGTCCCTCGGCAACGGAAGGTGTCGTCACGGTTCGGCGGAGCCGACGGCGCGATCGCGAAATCATCGAAGTCACCGCGGTGACTAACGCGCGCCCCGTTCGTCGGCCTCGCGGTCACGGCTTCTTATCGTTCTCGCGGTTTTCGCGTTCCTTGCGTTTGCAGTTTAGAAGCTCGATGAGAGGCGAGATCGCGGCCAGGTTCGGTCGTTCTTTGAACTTTGACCGATTGGAAAAGCAGTTAGACTCGACTGGACGCGCTGCGGGTAGCAAATAACGGAGCTATCTTGGCACGAACTTTACCGTGACGAAATGTTGCTTATCGCCATATTTAGTGGGTCCGACTATTGCGCGAACCACGCGAGAAAGGAAGGGAATCCCTCTGCGAAGGGCGGAAACCAACACGATTTTCAACACGAACGCAACACGCTCGGCCCGTTTAACGAATGCGTCCTTTAGCCGTGCACGCGCCCAAGGAACAGTCATGGAGGGTCGATCTAGAGATGTGGGTCGGACCAACCCCTGTGCCGAAAGCGTACGACTACAGTCTCTCGTTCGATCGGTAGAGCCTGACTACAAGTTAGAGAGAGAGAGAGAGAGAGAGAGAGAAATATAGGGAGGAGAGGACTATAGGACTGTACAAGCCGTGCACACCATCGTCGGCCACCATGCTTACGTGCATGTATATGTGCGCCCGTGCGCTCTGCGTGCGTTGTGTGCGCGTGCAACGACGAGAATACACATGGATGGCGAGAAACGGTCGATATCCCACCGCGTATTCGTACGCCATCCACGACGATACACTACTCGCCATCCGGTAGGGCTCTTACGCGACGAACAATGCGCTGCCGCGCGGACAAAGACGCATTAACGTTACCGTCGTCGTCGTCGTTGTCGTTAGGACGAAACGTCCTGATCCGCGCTGCCGTTGGCACCCGTAAGGAGCCGTTAAGTTTCGACGAGAAATCGGAAAGCGGGACAGAGCGACTCGACTTGGAAAGCTATAATTTGGAGCACACAATGGGGTAGTTCGACTTGGACCCGGGGCTCCACCACGGTTCCAGGCTTTATGATCGAAAGAGGGACGACGAATAAAGCTCGCTTGATTACGGCTAACGTGAGGCTTGGTTAGCACGATATTTAAAGTCTAACGTTGAATTATATGGAGAAACGAGCAGGTGTTTTGCGGAGTTTTCGTTTAGAGGGTAAGCTACGGATCGGTCGAGAAATCTCGCAGCATGAGACTCAGAGAGAAATGTGTGGCAATGGCGACTAGTTATAGTCACTAGAATAGCTGACGACTGTCAACGAGTGCGAATTTTGCAACAGTGCGAGTTTTGAGTGCAACAACAACAACAACAACTCATTCAACAACAATTCCTTCTTCAGTTACAATAATTACAGAAAAAGATTTATTAAGTCATATACATTGAGTTTACATATAAAACTCATATAGTTGTAATTTAAAATAAAAGTACTAATTCCTAGACATGTACTACCTAACTCTGGACGTTTTCACGGTTTTAGTCTTTTTAAATACGATTATTTAAACTTTTAACATAAAATATATGCATAAATGTATTCTATGTTTTAATATAGTTAGTTTAAATATTCATATTTAAACATCAATTCATATTTAATTCATATTTAACATTCATATTTAAAGATCAAAACAATAAGAATGTCCAAAATTAGAAATGTCTGAAAATTAGTATTTTTGCCACTTATACACACAATTACTACCACCATTATATATTTTCCTCTAAATATGGAATGTGCGTAATGATTTGTTAAAAAGTTACGTGTTATATATACTTGTTATAGTATATGAAATATATTACGTGTTATAGTATATGAAAGAACAGATTATTACATAGAATTTCCGACATATTTGCAGAGAAATGGCGAGAACGAGAAGAATACAAATAAGGAAGATAAATGTTAATGCTTTGAAGCATATTACGTAATTTGATAAAAGCCGTCGAGGTTTACGCGGGATGGAGCATTCTACCGAGATATATTTTTCGTCGAACACAATACGCGTCGTATCCCGGAGCAAACAAAGTTCCGCTCTTATCCCCGGCGATAGTGAGATAAGCGAGTCGAATTGAGTCGAACGTAACTTCCGTGCGAGCGAGTCATAGAAATCACGCCCACGAGGCGCTCATCGCCGATGTTCACCGTTATCATTTTTATTTCCGCTCACAATTGTACCTCGGCCACGCTCGAGGAGATAAAGTATGAGCGAATGAGCGAGTGAATGAACGAACGAACGAACGTTTTAGGAACAGCGCGACGTGAGAATTTACTGACCGTCCACGCCGTGCGCAGACAGATATTGTCGTAAGGACGGATCATAAACCAACAAGAGCGTTACTTATTGTCCGCCCGAGAAGTCTCTCCTCTTTTCCTTTCTTTCTCTCTCTCCTCTTTCCACTCAGGGTGAGGTAACAACTTTGTTCCTACAGATCGCAAGTCGACCACTTGCCTCGTCTCCGATATAAAATCGCAATACACACTTTGAGAGAGTGTAAGTGACATTTAAAGAGGAGAGTTGCGAGCGCGTATTGCCTTTTTTTCCTTGCAATTGAAATATTATTTCGCGCACAGAACTACCGAGATCTTTCCTTGATCGCTCCTTTAGTCGACCCGAAGTCGATTCTTCCGCAAGTGAGGGAGAATGCCGCAATGAGATCCGGTTATTTCATCGCGCTGCTTTCTATAGTCGCGGTGAGAAAAATTGCGGCGAAGAGAACCACGCGAGATTCACACTGAGAAAAATTACGCGCGATATGTGCGGTTCATTATTGTTGACTTATATCGGCGTTTAATTTAGCGTGCTGCTCGCTCAGCGTATTATATTTAATAATCTCCGCAATAAGATTACTTTGAAACGACTAGCGTAGTGGAAATTGCTGTTCCCTCTCGGCAAACGAGAATTTAGAGAGAGAGAACGCTTTTCCCTTTCTGCTATTAAATGAAGTGGAAAAATGCGTGCGTCGCTCCCCCTTTCGCTGATCTTATTTTCGTACTAATCGATAATGTTTACCGCCACCAACGGGCGTAGACAAAGGGGCAGCCTCCGCAAGATCCCGAAGTGGAAATTTGCGCGCGTTAAAATTGAAGATAGAAAGAAGAGTCGGCACACGCGCTTCTGTCACGTCGTTATCACGCTGACGTTATTACCGGAGAATCGCGGAAACATAAACGCGTCATCTCCCGCACTGACTAAGTGCTCCGCCAAGTGACGCTTTAATTGATCGGTGAGGCAGTCAATTGACTGAATTGAACCGCGAAGGGACATCTCACCCGAGTTAACGATCGCATTAACCAGTACACTTCGCGTATCGTGGAAATTATTACTCACCAAGACGAGCCGATACGCTCAGCTTCTCGACTTTAACGCGATTTTCTAACACCTCGTCCTTCTTTTCACTTGTATCGAGATGAAAAGAGAGAAAAAGAAGAAAAAGAGAGAAGACGGAACTGATAATCAGCGAACAGATTGCGATCGCGAATTGGAATCTGAGAGCGAATCACGGTCGGATTCGAAACTTCCGCGTGACACGATGGGGATTGCGATTGATTGCGATATCGCGCGGGAAAGGTGCGAATCTTGCGGCTCGATTTCCGATTCCAATCCGTGGTCGTAATCCGCGGTCTGATTCGAGGTTTATCAGGTTTAATCTGAAAATCGTTCTCACATGTCGAGAGGGATCGACGTCGATGGCGCGTATCTTGTTTCGCGTTATTGTCTCCGATGTAATCGTAATACTTTACGATTAACGCGAACGCGGAAATCGTAAACGTTTGAAACGAAAAGCACGGACAGTGAATGGACAGTGCACGAGAACGAATAACGCGAAATAACAAATTCTTATTGTTTCCCAATTTTGTCCTTCGTGTGTATCCCGTCAAGGCCGACGCCGAAAATCGCCTATTAGATTTTTAATTTATTTTATATTATTTATTTAGTATTCAGAATAATAATATTCCTTATTAATGGGAAAGACCCTTTAATATGTACATAAAATGAGAATAATTCAGCAGATAGAAATGTATTTAAAAAGAAAAAATATAAAAAATAAGTAAAAAATTTGATATTTTGTCGGCAATTTTGGACGAACTAGAATTACCGATGTCGTAGACTAATAAAGCAGTCTGTCAGAAGAGAAAAACGCTAATACCTCTTGCGTTCTCTCGAGTTCAAAACTACTCGTCGCTATTATTTCCACGAGAAAAGCAGACAAGTTTCTGTCGAACGTTTTAATTAGCAGATTCCCGTCAAGTCTGTCGTGATTATATGAACAGTAAAGCTTACCATATTGTGAGACCTCGTGGTCTTCACCGTCGTTGTCGTCTCGCTCAGTGTTTCTCCCGGTGTTTCTCGATCACGAAGCAAAACGGAAACGCGTTATTGTCTACTTTTTTTCTCGGCGACAGGGCGAGGATCCACGACAACGCGCGGCGCGTTCCATCGTGGAAGCGAGGCGAGTAGAAGACGTCCTTGCCTCGCCTCGCCTTCGCGTCTCGATCCTTTACGACGCGCACGCTATCAGCTCCTTCACGTCGTGTCGGAGAGGAGTCCCGGGGTTTTGCCGAGCGTGTAATTCATAAAACATTCATCAGCCTAGCGCGCCGTGAATGACGCAGAGATGTGAGTGGTTTTGTTGATGGAACGCGCCGTCATCATCGTCGTCGTCGCTGCCGCCGCTGCCGTCGTTGTCGTCAACGTCGTCGTCTTCGTCGTCGTCTTCGTCGTCGTCGTCGTCGTCGCGGATCCTGTTTTTCGCGTCGGAGAGATCCTTCGGACGGAAATCCGCGACGCGACGGCGACTCGGCTCTTCTTGCCCGGATCTCCCGGACTGAACAATGATATACGAGGCCTTGGCGCGGCACTTAACAGATAAGTTGCCACACGGCACTTGCGGCACTTTAATTGGAAATTCGGATCGCTCTTAGGGCGCGAGAGACCGTGCTAAGTGCAATCGCTTTGTTTAATCCTCCAACTCGTTACTCGGCTGTCGGGACGGACGCTCTCCACGTGGGATTTTCGTGAGGTCTAGACGATACCGCAGAGTGCAACCCGATCCGTTATATGTGTGTGTGTGTATGTATATACATATATGTATACAGGGCGGTTCATTTTAAACAAGCCAGCCGAATACCTCGAAAACTGACTGCGTTATGTAACTATAAAATCATCATGTCGACTCCCGATTCCATGTCGCATCGGCGTCGAAAATACTCGGTAGCGACTGTCAAAGCTGTGTCGGAGAAGGCAAACAAGCGAAAATAGCGGCTAGGACTTTCGTCCCAGAATTCCACGGTGACGTGCGACTAATTAGAGGAAATGCATTTCCATATCCTTTTTGACAGGAAGATCGAGGATGGCGCGTTGTACTTGAGCGGTATTATACTTTCAGCCGATCTCGCGGACAATAGAGGATGACAAGTGCTTTCAGGGAAATCTAACGAGCGCGTCGTCCGCGAGATTCCCACCGCAAATTAATTTCTCCAGAGAGACAGAGAAAGGGAGAGATCGAGGGGAAAGGACAGAGAGAGAGAGAGAGAGAGAGAGAGAGAGAGAAAAAGAAGAAGAGAGCGTTTAACCACGAAGGTTCCCGCGAGGCCCTAAGCAAAGTGGGCCCAACACGCGCTGTTTCACGGTCGTTCCCGCGAGAGGAGAAGAGAACGACGCGACGGGATACGCGTGTGCACGAAGCACTCGACCGTCAGCCACGACTGACAATGAGTCACGTGAGGGCCGTGACTCACGGGTGCACGCTGTACACCACGGGGTCGAAGAATAGACGTCGTTAAGGCGGTGGAGGAGGCGGAGGTGGAGGAGAGTCCTGGGAGAGAGCTCTGGATCCATGAGGCCGCAAGTGCCGTGAACCTCTGCGTGTTATCGCACTCAGTTACACTGACATGTGTGTCCTTTGTGAGGGCCCATCGTGGCCCGGTCACCGACCGACGACACGTGAAAAGTAAGGGCGCGAGATCAGTCGTGGGGATAAGGGTCACTCGCTCTCCACGTGTCTCGGTCCACGTGTCTACTTTTTGGTATGTGTTACGGCGTTTCCGGCTGAACGGGTTTGAATCGATCCGCGATCGATCAATGACGTCATAAGCTTCTACTAGCCAATCGCAGAGCTAATGACGTCACTAATCGCTCCCGCATCGATCCAAACCCGCTCCAGTCGAAAACGCTGTTAGAAAATGGAATTATGGAAGCATAAGGCACGATAAAGTGGAACAACCGAGACGTAGTGCGTTATAGTGAGATTTCTTAATGATGGATAATGTTTTCATATATCGAGTGATACTCGTGCTTGTTCTTATGTTTACGTGTTATGAAATGTAGGAATCCTAAGTACATTTTACAGCGTCGGCGGTGTCGGGATTTTTCTTTATTAGATTTTTGCACGAGATTCTAATTAGCGATGCGAGAGAGATATTTGATTCGCATATGTTGGTAAAATGAATGCGGCATAGCGTCTCTCTAAATATATCTCGGATGACGATCAATTATCATTATAAAGCCGCCGTCGAGATAATAAAAATATCTTGAAAAGTTGCTTGTATGACATAAAAAGTTTATTTGCAGAAATAAACTTTCCATCCTACAATGAAAATTTCAAGTACTCCTCAGTGAATTCTTCCGCGACGGTTATTCGAAAGCTCAACTCGATTACATACAATAGGAACGAATAAAGTGATCGTAAATTGAATGGAAACGCGCAAGAAGCTTGTCATCGTTTACAACACTGCAGGGAGCCGTCGCGCCGGGATGAAAGCGTCGATAGTCGAAGATGAATACGATAGTCCCGGGACATCTCTCGCGAGATACCGTTCGCCGCGTCTCGCTATTTCGCGTTCCTTAGCGAATTACGTATCTCGGCCTGTCGGAGCGGTAAATCGCGTTAACTTCTTTCTTCGCGCTCGGCATTGCCGCGGCCGCCGCCGCCGCCGCCGTGCTCCGTTCGATTTCATTTTTCTCCTTATCCGCTCGATGCAAGCGGGGAAAGTCGTAGAACGCGTTTTGAGATACTCCAAGGCCTCGTCCGGCAGTTAAATGGGATCGACTTCGCCTCCATTCTCGTCGTTTTATATCCTCGCCTGCCAGCCTGCCTGTTTGCCTGCTTGGTTGGCTGACTGGCTGGCTGGCTGGCTGGCTGGCTGGCTGGCGGGTTGGCTGCCTGCCTGCAGCCGCGCACGACGTGTTTCGCGAACGTGTATATTCTCTCCCTCTGTGAAACCAGACCTCCTCCCGGCATTATCTTCCGCGCGGGCACGCGGAAAAGTCGAGGGAAATGTAAAACCTGAGAAACAATTGTGAACCGAGCACGATAACCGTGCTATTCGAACAGGCCGAAACTCGCGAATCCCTTTTTTACGAGCGCTCCTCCTCCTAATCCGATAGCGGCATTTAATCGCGAGGTCGCAAATTTAATTTAAACTTCACGCTTCGCGCGCGCCGGAAACGCAAAAACGAATGAAAGATAACGGGCCCTGCCTCGTGTCTCTCGACAACTTGGATATCGCACATTTATCTTGAATCAAGAAAAACGAGTCGAAACCACGAAACATTTTAAACATATACACTTGGATACATACTCGGATTTCTCAATCGAATGAACTGCTCTTATGATTTTTTATCTGACGTGGTCTTAGCCGGTTTTTCAATGATAGTTTAAACTTAGATTTCAACTTAAACTCTGTTTAAACAAAACAAACGCAGAATAGTTATGACAAATGTTAGAATAGAGTTTAAACTTGAATCCAAGTTTAAACTGCTATTGAAAAACCGACCCTTAGTGATGTATTTTTTTAACACTTAAATACCTTAATATTTATCCAATTTCACTTTTTATTAACACACGACTGAGAGAGAAGAGAGATATCAATTAAATATATTAGATAAAAACATCAATATCTCTTGCTATCAATTTTTTTAAAAGAAACATCGACATGAAACACGTTTGGCCAGAAGAACACGGGAGGTCCATTTACTATCTGTCGCGATTTCGAGTTTAGCTTTTCGTCGGATAGCCGAGCGCGTTCGTGGCGTTTGATGTTTGAAATTTCCTCGCAGCGATACCGGGAACGTATATTCCGAGAGAATTATAAACGACTGGATGGCTAACCTTCCGGGGGGATATTAAGGATTCAGGGAGTACCGCATGGTTTGCCGCACGTTCAGGCATATAGATGTGAGGAAGCCATTATTGCGCGTTACGATCTACTACCAGCGCAAGGTGATGCTGCTACATAGTACCTCTACACCCACGATCCGAATATTCCGAATATTTCGTCCGGCCGCCTGTAGACGCTGAAATCTATGGGGCTTGTTACGAGCGATCATCGCCGGCGTTACGCTTCGCGTGTTAATCATAAAGCTTAATAAATTGTCCGCGTAATAGGCTACAGGACGCGTCAGAATCTGTCGACCGCAATACATGTTATTTGAGAATTTTTCCGATGGACAGTTGTGTATCGCGAACAGCGAAAATGTTAACGCAAAACGAAACGCGCGCACTGAGAAAAAAATATTTGAAAATCTATTTGTGCAATATAAAGCTTATTTCTGTGAAATATATTTTTACCTCACAAACAAATTTTATACTATTTTTTCTCAGTGCACTGAGAAAAATATTCGAAATTTTATTTGTGAGATATAAAGTTTGTTTGTGCGAGATAAAGTCGATTTCTGTAAAATAAATTGTTATCTCACACACTGAGGAAAAGATATTTGAAAATTTATTTGTGTGATACAAAATTTATTTCCGTGAAATAAAATATATTTCTGAGAAATAAAATTTGTTTCTGTGAAATCAATTTTTGTCCTACAAATAAATTTTCAAGTATTTTTTCTCAATGCACGATGATAGTCTTGCGAGTCGAGTTATCGTAAGAGACAGTTTTCCCTCTCTATTTCACTCTCTAAAATGTAGAATTATTTTCAATTTTTCGCGATTAAACGCGATTAGTCAAGTACATATCGCGATTTCTCCTCAGAAGTAACACGCGAATAATGCAGCGAGCGGAAACGATCGGTAAGAAAATTAGAATAATTTAAGTTCTTTAATGGAGCGAGATATTATCGAGAGAAGTCCTTCGAAGCACGATTCTCTTAATCGACGAGCAAAGTTTCTTGCGTAACTTTCAGCCAACTTTTCTATAACGACAATATCCCGGGGAAGGGTCATTGTTTCCCGCGGTCTCTCGCACTTCGACACATCCAACGCTTTGGTGACTAAACAGAATTCTCTCGGAGACCGAAACTCCGAGTTGAACGCGACGAACAACGTTCCACTCTCAATAACTCTCGGTTAACGACTGCAAATTTCGCGAAATAATACGCTGCCCATTCGCTACCGATTCCACAGCATGCTGTACAAATTTCTACGACTTTCTAGTCCGAAGATATCTCCTTGTTCAAAGCACGCTGCGCGGCGAATCGCGACTATCTTCGTCCGTGGAGGGATCGCGATACACTTTTATCGCTCGAAAATCCCCGACATCCGAGCGACCTCCATTTCGGGCATAATCGCTCGAATCGAGCGCAGCTCCGTTTGAATAATCGTTAGTAATTTAAAGGTCCCCGCGGCCTATTATCCCCGTCGCTGCAATCGAGCGCTTAAGAATGGACTTTCACATACCGCGCATTGGTATCGGGCCTCGCGGATCTAATCGCGGCGAATCTATGCGCGGGTAAACGGCGAGAGCAAAACGCGGCCAATGTCGGGAGAAGGAAGGCGTCGACTGTCGACACATACTCTCTCAAACACACACACATACACATATGATTGGATCGGTGCGCTGCGTGTCGCAAGCACGCAGGTGACGGTCGGTGCGCCTTGCAGACGCAAGTTAAATCGATCCCTTTTACTCGCACCCGAGAGAGAGAGAGAGAGACAGAGAGAAGGAGAAAGAGAATCGCGATTAATTTCGCGACAACGAGCAACGAGACACACGCGGAGAGGAAAGTCGCGAACTAAAAAGAGCCGAACAATCGACGAGAAAATGTGTGACTCGTGCGAAGTGCGCGCGATTGCCACGTAACCAGAATAATAAGCGGTACCTAGCGCGTAAACGACAACCACGATTAAAGACCCGAGGTTCTTGAGACTCAATTTTCCTCTAGACGAGACAGCGCTTTTAAATTGTAAAAAAAGTCCCGATAATGCGTACATTTTCGCGTTTTTCCTAAACAGAAATAGCCGCGGATTACGAAAGGGATAAAAATAACTCTGGAATGGAAATTGAAGTTGTCCCAAGTCTGTCTAATTTTCATCAAGAAGCAGGTTTTTCACAGAGAATTATTCAAGTGTGTATGAATAGTCGTTACTTGAAGCTTATCTCAAGTGAGATACTCAGACCTAAATTTAGAATTAGATGTGAGTTTTTCAGTTGAATTGTGCAATTACAAATGTAATGTCATGAATATCCTATGATCCAAGTGAAAAACAATCAATTTGAAATTGAACTTTGAGTATCTCTGAGACAAATTTCAAGTAAGGATTATCAATACGGTCCTCAATGTTTTAATTTTATACGTTGACTATTCGCGCAAGATATCGAATACGTGTTGACTAATATATGTGTTTCATGCAAATAGTAAACCCTAGAAATATATTTTCCGATATTATCAGTAATCTAATAAATGAGGCGTCGT